GCAGCGTTGGAAGAAAACACGCACACCAACATCCATACACGAACCCACACAACTGAACGGACGGTACTGCGCAAATCAAAACACGAAGCGGTTAAATCACTCATCGTCATCATTCAGCTTCGGCTACTTCCGTTTGCGTTTGCTTTCACCGGCGTTGAAAAATACTTCCTACGTTATAAAATAGGAAAGTTATGATTATTCCAACGTAATTTTTGAATAGAATGCGTGCTGTGTTGGCCAAAGAAGACGGCATATTTTATTTCGTTTAGCAATGATTTCGATACGTTGCATTTCCAGTGGCTTGGGTGTTGGAATAATTCTTTAGAGCGTGGGAACGTTTTTCCCATGTTTACTTCTTTGCAAATCATCAATTACTATTAGAGATTTACATCTTACTGATACCGGTGGTATATTGGAAACTCTTTCGCTCGAAAGCAAAACATATTGCGCGCTTGGATGTGTGATTGTTTTCTCAAGTGTTTCTGTTGCGTATAAAGTGGTAATGATTAAATACGGAGCAATCACAAACAAGTAAGAATCTTGCTTTCGCAATATAATGATGATGACTTCGAGGATGATATCGTCCTCTTCCCTAGGCTGATCATCAACGTCCGCGTTGACATCTATCATGCTGACACCTGTCAGTTATTGAGCCCTAATGGTGAAGTTGGCGGGGAACTCCCAACAGTTTAAATGTGCGCTCAACAGATGGCACTGCGATCACATAAGGGTGGTAATTATATGCCTTGTATGAGGAATTCAGTGCTAACATTTGAAAACGGCACAAAAGCCATTTGTAAACAAATGGTTTGTGGGCCCTTTACTCACTACTTGATGTACACCCACGCGACACAACAGCAACATCGGGTAGGGGAAATTTTCCCCTTCCTGACGATGATGTTGGTTTGCGTGGGCGTTCTTCGGGTAGCGAGTAAAGGGCCCACAAACCATTTGTTTACAAATGGGTTTTGCGCCGTTTTCAAATGTTAGCACTGAATTGATTAGTGGGATATCTTGTTAATTATATATCTTTGCTGGATGTCTCAGGAAATCCAAAAATTTTAATTTTCCTCGTTATTTTCATTCACACTTTGAACTTTATAGACCCACACACCAAATTTAAGTTTTCTGTTTCAGTAAAACGGATTGCTGGATCATGACCAGCAATCCAATGCTTTACTGAAAAACAGCAAACGATATTTTACTGAAAACATCAGCTAACATAAACTAACACCCAGTTGTTACCGGCGGGTAACATTGTTTTCATATGTTTAGTACACGGGATATAGCTGTATTTATATTAGGGAGATTATTTAATCGGCAACGGTCAATTTGAACTCGTTGGTGGGTGGCATAAGTGGACAGACGATCGAACAGCTAAACGATGAGTGCAGGTGGGTGGTAGCGACATCCACTGAACTCGAAGAGAGTGTGGGCGGAAACTCTCCCTGGAGAGAGTGACGGAGCCCACGATGGAGGAGAGTGAGCAGATAACGGAGGCTGGTGAAGTTTAGAGCCAATGCCACCCGACCATCACCCGATCGCTACCCGTCACCACCAAAGCCCAGTTAGGTTTGTTTACCATCAATAAATAAATAATTTAACCGTTGACCGTAGCGTTTGATAGGATCCCTTGTCCGAAAACTCTCCCACGCCCGTACGCCTTGAGACCCGGAACTATCAGAGGTCGTGAGTGCCCACCCCGGGAGCTGTCGTAGGCTTAGACCGGCAGCTTGGGGCTTTGGCAGGTCCTTCTCCAGGTCCTAGCGGTTCCGGGGCCGAAAAGTGTCTTATACAGTAAAAGAGCTGTCAAACTGTTAGCATTAAGTCGCAAGTATTTTTGCATTCGTGCACCACCATTCAAACCGCAGGAGGAGGAAGAGCTAAAAAAAAAACAACAAATAGGGGAATTTACGTATTCTCGTCAATCTAAGCAGCGTCCGAACTTCTATTAGCGATTTCTCAGCGTCACACACATACATGACAGGTTTGTTTGTTGACATTTATCTGCTGTTTGCTGTTCTACCAATTCCAATTGACAGAATTGATCAAAACGGGTTGAACATGTTTTTACAACGCTCCAAACTTCTCAGGTGAGAGTGACTATTGTCGGCAGTCTCTTTTTCTTCGGCACCCTTTCCATTTGAACTGCGTGTTAACCAGCTGTTCTATTATCGTCAACTCGAAATCAGCCGTATTTTGTAGTATGTATATTTCATTTAAAGAAAAATATGGTATAACAGGAATTCACAGTCGTAAAAATGTAATCAGATTGAAGCTGAAAAGGTAAGGAATCGGCTTAATACATTCAGCGAAGAGTTTTGATGGGAAAATACAGTGAAATAAACGTTTCAATTTCGGTTGCCGAAAACAGTCAATGGGTGCCGAAGCCATAATTTACCCTAGATAAAATTGTGTAGGTAAGGACACTGGCTCGGACACTGGTTATATTTAATAAACGATACTTGAAAACGAGTCTGGCGATTTTATCTTTATTATTCGTATATTTACAGAAGCTTGAAGCTCATATAGTGAAAACAAATTCGATTTACTGAATTTAATTGTTTAATCAGCAAAATGCTGCCAAATGTCAAAATTTTTAATTGCTGAATTATCAGTAAAGAAATATTGCTGATTTTCAGTAAAAAGTTGTCTTTTTGACAGAAGTCGGAATTGCTGAAAAAATCAGCAGCATTATTTTGCTGGAACGTTTGCTGATCTTTCATCAAGTCTAAAATCAGCAAAATTTTGCTGATGTTCAGCGATTTAAATTTGGTGTGCAGAGTAGATTAAGCTTCAGTAACAAATAAGGGGCGTCCCAGATCAAATTGCATCACGGTAAAAACACTGTAGAAAATTACCCATTGGATATTTATTCTTGATAATTTGGATAGAAGTAGTTTAGAGTGTATTGTTAAAACTGTATTTTTATCGCTGTCAGTTTTTAGAAAACTGGAAAAAATGGCGTTAAGCAACGTCGCGAATTGATTTTGCGCAAGCACCTGAAAAATCCTCAACTCTCTCATAGGGACATCGGAAAACTAATCGGAATCGCGCAGTCATGTGGCAAACGGACTGCGCCGTTCGTGACTACCGGGACTGTAAACGGGGAGATCTAACGCAAGGAGCGTCTACAGAAGTGGCTGCTTCCCCTGTTGAAACGACACGAGGGCCCTACGATCTTCTGGCAGGATTTAGCTTCGTGCCACTATTCAAATGTTGTCCTGGAGTGGTACGAAGCCAACGGGATCACTTTCGTATCCAAGGACATGAACCCACTTCCCCCTACTGGGCTATTATGAAGCAGGCACAACGGAAGCATCCCAAGGAGGTCAAATCTGAGGAAGACATGAAGAAAAACTGGGTTTCCGTACAGAAGAAACTGCAGCCAGATGTTGTACAGAACAGGCATACTAAAAGTACCGCCTCATGACAGTATTCCAACGTCTGTCGCCTTCAGATTGAGCTATAAGTGACAGTCCACAAAGAGGTTGTCATACTACATGCAACCAACAATCAATACTAAACTAACGATTTTAAATTGGCTCCTAGATTGGCTCACTACTTGACTAGCCTATTGGTCCCAAGCAAATCGATTGACGTACCCCATTCTAGTCGAAATTTTAGTACTAAACAATGTTGGTTTTGATTTGATATGAAAGTTTGACAGATAAAATGAGGGGTTCGTGGATTTTCCAATGTTTCGAGGGGTGAATCGATTAGCTTGGGACCGAAGATAGTACCAGAGCTGAGCCAAAAAGTTGAGCACGTTTCTTCGTGATCTTCAAGTCTTAGAGTTACCTCTATGCTGCTACTACACTACCAGTGTGCCGCCGAAGCTCGTTCGGTTGCTATCACGTTCGTGCTGCCCATTGCAAAATTTTCATCCGACATATTTTAAAAACGCGCGGTCTTGAGCAGATCAGTCATTCCGACATTCCGGCGAAAAATATAAGCCTACCCGACACCAACCTGACTTCTAGCAAACCCAACCAGGGTTTGGGGTAAGCTGAGGGATGTCGTCGGTTTGTGAAGGCTGTCATGACGACAGAAACATTGAAAACCTGGTCATAAAGAAATGTATAAATACAGCCCCATTCGGTTCACTACGTTCCAAGCATGATGATTTTAGCAAAGCGGGTATAGATGCGACGGTTCTAATACAGCTTTCATTCGTTCGTGCGTGCGTTGTTGCCAATGCACTTCGAATTCAGATCTGAACGTACGGTAGCAAGCAGTAGTAAAGCACACAAAGCAACAGTCAATTCAGATATAAACCATCTGTCGCAAGAAGGTTGTACCATAGAGGTAACTCTAAGACCAGAAGGTCCAGATGAAACGAGCTCTACTTTTTGGCTCAGCTCTGGTACTATTTTCGGTCCCAAGCTAATCGATGCACCCCTCGAAACATAGAAAAATCCACTAACCCCTCATTTTATCTGTCAAACTTTCATAGCGAATCAAAACAAACATGGCCGTGGGGATGCAAAGAGAAAGTCGACGAAGAGAATCTGTCAGGACGTAATGCAATGTTCAGCTTGAATTGTTGTTTGCGAGAAATCGACGATGAAAATCAAAAGTGACAGTTACGTTATATCGAGGTACACCTGTATTTACTCAGCATTGTTCCGGGAGAGACGAAAAAAAAACTTCCGGAGAAATATGATTTTATGATGGTCTGATTAAAAATATTTATTTTATGATGGTCTGATAGTATCATCTATTATTATCACTTTGTGTTCAATATGTTGCAATCAAGGTTTACAAGATGTCCGGATTAACTGGCATTCAGTACATTACGGTACGACAATTTGGGCACAATATTTACATGCTAAGTGTATGGATTTCAGTGCTTTACGGAAACCGTTGGAAATTTGCTAAGATCTTTTTATTTGGAAGTAAACAATTTGTTTTTATCGACGCCTGAATAAAAAGAGCTGTTTATACGGTCAGTTGAATTATGACTTTTAAGATGTACCGAAAAACTTTTAATGACTTACCGGAACCGAAATCACCCATTTTCTAACTTTATCGGTGTTTATTTCAGCCAACCGCAAACAGAATAATAACCCGTAAATTAAGGCAGCATTCCAGAGAGCATTCACTTCACCTTTTATTGAATATTGATTTCCATGCACATCACCTGTCAACGCACTTTATGATAAACCTTGAAACTACACCCAAACTCGTAAAACACTGACGGATCAAATCACCAAAATTAAGAATGAGATCAGCGCCACATAATTTGGCACTTTGAATGAGCAGTCAAGCGAATCGATTGCACTTCTTTCGGTTTCCAGAGGCAAATTTATTGTTGGTTGTCATGAAACTCTGCGCTGCGACATTTCACCTCTTGTGCCAACTCCACTCACCCTATAAGGGAAGGTACCATTGGTAAAACTTTTCTATCTCACTCGGAAAATCTTCGTCGGGCTTAGGTTTCGATGATCCCTCACCAACCCGGCAAAACAATGCTGCTCTTGATTACTCTGTCTGTAAAGTATACTGCACTGTACTGCCAGGCACTTCCCGGAAGCAATCAATCAAACTTTTCACCACCGAGCAGTCAACCATAAACTCTAGGAAAATTTTCCAACCTTTTCCGCCAAAAGTTCAAACTGTTCTGAGCGAAACTTTGCCACCGAAAATCCTGGTCGTCTCAACCGTATAGCTTTGGGAACTCGCACGACATCGACAAAATCCTTGCAGCTGCCGAACAAACCAAATGACAAACTACCTTGGGGCCGCCCATAATAACTCTAATGTCATTTTTTTTTGTTCGAATATTTTCCATTTCCGTTCCGGCGCGCACGCTGATATGAAGGAATTTATAATTCGAACTAAAGAGTAGCCACCGGAGCACGTGTTTGATCGATACACGGAGCGGTCGGTCGGTCGGTCGGCCGATTGGTTGGTCGGATGGAAGAAAGTGGTGGCGCCAATGTCCTTAGGAACCGTATTTGATATGGAAGAAGAGCAAAACAAATAATGTTCGTGCAAGCACACAAGAGGCATCAAAGTGGCCGTGGATGAGCATGATTAGGGTCGTCTAGGGCTAAAAATAGACCGAACATGGCCTGCTGCTTGTTTGCTTTGCAGACGTTTGGCTCTGGTCGTGTAAGATACTCATTTGAGTTCAAAACCATGCAGATGCAATTGACATCGCATATTTCACCCATAGTGTGAATCAACAGGTGCATTTACCTGTACAGTTCTTAGTGGGATTTGGGTTGGTTTTTTATTTGATTTTGATTTTCTGCTTTTTAAATTCAGTTTTGAATTTGATAAAGCTTTTATCCGTAGTTTTACTCATATTGAAAATCTAGACTCAGACAAACCATAGGTTATTTACATACACAAACGTGAATTTTGTCGAGATCTCAGCAAGAAACATAAATTTTGCTGAATCTCGACAAGTTTTTACTCAGATCCAGCAGGTGCCCATCTCGGTAAAAAAAACCTAAGTCTGTAGAAGATGTTTGGATTCAAAGTTGCTTCCAATATAATCAATGTTTTTCTATAATTAAATAACGAAGCATCGAACATGCAATCCTACATATTTATAGACATCGAAGCTGTTAGTCATCTATCATAAAGAGCGTACACTGAACCAATTTGACATATTCCTGTTATGTGGAAATCTAATAAATTTGCGCTATAAGATAATCCATTGAAAATGATATGATTGAAAATGTGTCAGGTAAATTCTATATGAATATCTGATACATTTACAATGCTGATAATTTGGTAACTTTTATGTGATCGTCATATGATAAATGAAAATCAGTCAAATTATAATAATTAACTGAAATGGATTTGAAACCCATAAGCATAAGCTTTACGTTTCACCCCAATATAATATATGTGTCATAAATCAATCGAAGTAAAGTTTATGTGAAAATCACATGAAATTTACTTCTTCTTTTGACACATATATTTAATCGATTTCTAAAAATAAATCGAAAAATAAACAACAGGCAGTGGGAGCTTTCACAGTTGTGTCTTTTTTTATTGTAGCTGATTTGGGATTCGATCAAGAACTGTTGAGGTGTGATGCTTTCGGTTTCTGCGCTCGATTCCACTGGGCCACGGCTGACTTCAAGATTGAGCTCGTTCAATTAGCATGAAGTAAGAACAGCTCTCCCGACATGGAATGTAGTGCAACTTTATGCTCGTTTTGCTAGAGTGAAGACAAATAGCACTGACAAGTTTATGTTCCGTTTCGGTGGTGTCGTTTGTTCAAATCTTTCTTAATGCGCCTGTGTGCAATAAAACAACAACTAAATTATATGAGTTGATGGAACTGGTTCATGAAGTTCGAGTACTAGGGCTGGAATCTGAATTAGCTGTGTAGAAGGCTTACAATTAGAATCACAGCAAAGTAAATATTGCAGTAGAATCATTTTTTTTTTTCAATCTCAATACATTCTTTTCCGGAACCCCTTATCTTATGAAACAATAACAAACAAAGATTATTCAATACAGTATCATTGTTGTTAGCAATATTTACAATATCAACTAATCATTTTAATGAGTGTACGATAACATCGTTGAAAATTGTTTCAATAATTTATGAAGAGCAATCATGTAAGATGTATTTTATTTTGAGCGATATTCATCCCAGAAAAACATGCCAAAACAAATGTTTGCTGTTGGATTTCTTAAAATGCAAATCTATATGACTATATAATGATTGGGATAAATCTGTTTACAATCTTTAAACCTCAAAAATCAAAGGAAGCTATTCCAATGAGATATGAGATATACATGTTTTCCTATACTGCAGAGTTAAATGACAGTCCAATAGTTTCTACATGTCTGTTTACACGCGACATATCAACAAACGTCAAAAATCGTTAAAAGCAACTTCAATAAAATAATAAAATATACATGATTATCTTATAAGATATATCTTTTAGTGAGCAATATTCATCATGAAAACAGGTATATTGTACTGAATTATCTAATAATGCAAACTTATATGATTTTCCATTACTTTCTAGATGTCTGTTCCCACATATATCAACATGACATATCAACAATTTTTCACCATGAAATATAATCAGACAATATTCATATACTTTTTACCTATCGCTAACCACGTTCGAAGCAAAGTATTATCAAGTACAAAGTATGTGAAATTACGATAGAAGTCATTCCATATCGCAGTCATAGTTTTAAAGTGATAATACAATGGAATCTATCAATCATCACATAGAATGAATAAATCTGCTGACATTGCTATGTTATAAGATGGATCCAGTAAACGGTACATGTCGATTTGTTTCAGTGTAGAATGCGTATAGCGCATACACTGAACCAATATGACATATTCCTGTTATGTGGAAGTCTAATAAATTTGCGCTATAAGATAATCCATTGAAAATGATATGATTGAAAATGTGTCAGGTAAATTCTATATGAATATCTGATACATTTACAATGCTGATAATTTGGTAAATTTTATATGATCGTCATATGATAAATGAAAATCGGTCAAATTATAATAATTAACTGAAATGGATTTGAAACCCATAAGCATAAACTTTACTTTTCACCACAATATAATATATGTGTCATAAATCAATCGATGTAAAGTTTATGGGAAAATCACATGAAATTTACTTCTTCTTTTAGCACATATATTTAATCGATTTCTAAAAATAAATCGAAAAATAAACATCAGGCAATGGGAGCTTTCACAGATGTGTCTTTTTTTATTGTAGCTGATTTGGGATTCGATCAAGAACTGTTGAGGTGTGATACTTTCGGTGTCTGCGCTCGATTCCACTGGGCCAATGCTGACTTCAATATTGAGCTCGTTCAATTAGCATGAAGTAAGAACAGCTCTCCCGACATGGACTGTAGTGCAACGTTATGCTGGTTTTGCTAGAGTGAAGAGAAATAACACTGACAAATTTATGCTCCGTTTCGGTGGTGTCGTGTATTCAAAAACTTTCTTAATGCTCCTGTGTGCAATAAAACAACGACTATTTTATATGAGTTCATAGAACTGGTTCATGAATTTTGAGTACTAGTGCTGGAATCTGATTTATCCGTGTAGAAGGCTTACAATTAAAATCTTAGCAAATAAATATTGCAGTAGAATCATTTTTTTTCAATCTCAATACATTCTTGCCGGAACCCCTTATCTTATGGAACAATAACAAACAAAGATTATTCAATACAGTATCATTGTTGTTAGCAATATTTAGTTCGGCTAATCATTTTAATGAGTTTACGATAACATCGTTGAAAATTGTTTCAATAATTTATAAAGAACAATCATGTAAGATGTATTTAATTTGGAGCGATATTCATCCCAGAAAACCATGCCAAAACAAATGTTTGCTGTTGGATGTCTTAAAAGGAAAATTTATATGACTATGTAATGATTGGGATAGATCTGTTTACAATCTTTAAACCTCAAAAATCAATGGAAGCTATTCCAATTAGATATACATGTTTTCTTATACTGCAAAGTCATATGACTGTCCAATAGTTTCTACATGGCTGTTTACACGCGACATATCAACAAACGTCAAAAATCGTTAAAAGCAACTCCAATAAAATATACATGATTATCTTATAAGATATATCTTTTAGTGAGCAATAGTCATCATGAAAACAGGTATATTTTACGGAATTTTCTCATAGTGCAAACTTATATGATTTTCCATTAGTTTCTAGATGTCTGTTCCCACCCATGACATATCAACAGTTTTACACCATAAAATATATCAGACCATATTCAAATACGTCTTAGCTATCGTTAACCACATTTGAAGCAAAGTTTTATCAAGTACTAAGTATGTGAAATTACGATAGAAATCATTCTATATCACAGTCATAGTTTTTAAGTGATAATCCAATGGAATCTATCAATCATCACATAAAATTAACAAATCTGCTGACATTGCTATGTTATAAGATGGATCCAATAAACGGTACATGTCGATTTGTTTCAGTGTAGATGATAGGTAATGATGGCGCTGAAAATTATGAATGAACTCTCGATGAACATTTCAAATGGTCCTATCTGCTTTGATCGATTCTCTTCATCGACTTTCTC